GTCATGGCACCGTACCTGTGGCCATTAGCATTACCAAACTGTCTGAGACTTTAGCCTTTCTTCAACGTAATGTTGCCACAAATAGGTTTTATAACCCATAACCATTCAATAATTTAATGTATAGGTAAACCATTGAAACTTTTAACTGCGGTCTACATATTGTGTGACTACTATTGTCGGAGAATACCCACAGACAAGGTTTGATTGATGAAAGAATTGGCCCTTGACAAATGTGTAAAGAACTAGGATTAGATATCAGCTATGTAATGATGTATGCCACAGAAAAAAAGACCAATGACATTTTTGTTTATCACTGGTAGATCCCTGTGCAGGCTCACATGGGTCTGAACTCTTAGTGGAACATGTACCGGTATTCCTAGTGGTGACATTGTTAGGTATGATATTGTCAAGTGGACAGGAGGCCAGGTGTATTGTGTGAAGGATATCATTTGTAATCCCTTCTGCTGGCAGATTGACAGAAGCAATGTGAGTTGGAATAATACAACATGCTTTCACGTGAATTGTTATTCCCGCTAACGTTCAGCTAAGAATTTGATGCTTGTCACAGTTGTGTGCTGCTACTGAGATATTTATGTGTAACCATCTTCCCTGAAAATATTGAGGCAATGGCAAACGCTCATCTGTATAATTTTCCAGTATTTGAATGTTAATTTGTAGTATATGATTACCAGGATATTACAACTATATTACAACTAAAAGGAAATATTAATAAAGTGTTTTATTAAACAATATTTGTGAACAGGAAATATGAATATCTGTAATCTTATTTTGATTTGCCTTGTAGTTTATGCCAGTCAAGTACCAGCTATTGGCAGTGTAACTATGTGTAGGTTATGCCACTCAATGTCTGTCATTGTTCTTTGTACATACCAGCTATTGTCATGTGTCAGTGTAATTATGTGTAGGTTATGCCACTCAGTGTCTGTCATTGTTCTTTGTACATACCAGCTATTGTCATGTGTCAGTGTAATTATGTGTAGCAACTGTTGAGATAATGATCGAGGACTACTGCTGAGTGACAGATGGCAATACATGTTTCTTGCAGTGTCTTGACAAACTTAGGTTTTGCTTGTACTTGCTCTCCATACAACAACCACTTGTTTTATGGTGATGGGCCACAGCTGTTTCCAAATACGGTCTTACAAGATCATGAGTTATTACGGCCTTCTTATGGAGCCATCTATGGAACTACAGCTGTTGTAACTCCCAAACTTTACCACAGATTTACTACAGGTTTAGTGCTACCATAATAGTCCTAGAATCAATTGTGGTGCTGAAATTGTAACCTAGTTAGTGACACTTTGGAATACAAAGAGATCGTATGCTAGAGCTATCATATGTCATGTGTTTGAACTGAGACTTGCATTCACACTTACATCAGTGGTAGTGTTAACACTGTTGTGTGGAACAAGGTACCAGTATTTGGCATGTGGGATATAAAGAAATGTGGGATATATAGATATGTATGGAGTCAACTTGCCTGAACAGTGTGATCTCAGTATCAGGACCATGATCAGCTGAGCATGCCGAACCAAACGAAAATTTACTTCACTGAGCTTCCAAAGCTGCAGATTCCTGGACTTTCTTCAGTGTGGTAGGATGATGTTAGGTCTGGGGATGGACCTAGTTTATGCAGATTGTTCAGATCAGGCTTCAGAAAATACAGGATGTCATCCACTGGTTTGTTGGTCACTGTTCATGTTGTGCTCAGCAATACTCAAACTGTTTGGTCGCAGGCTGTAAATACTGAAGTATGGACAAGAGAATCCAGTCATCAATGTTGTGAGCACTGATTCAAGCTGTTCAGGTTATGGAGACACATAATCATCATTAGGCAATATTCTAAACAGCGGTGGGGCCCATTCCAAGCTGGAATCTCCTCTGGGTAGAGAGATGATACTCCTACTACTGAAATGGAACTCAGGGCCTCCTTTCACAAAGCACCAAGGTGATCGTAAGTCAAATTTAGTAAAGGCTGCTTCGTGAAGGGAGCCCCTGGTCCTCAGTACCTACATCAGTCTTGCCATGATAGCTGACTATCCTGGAGATAAGGTGCCCAGGTTCTGTTGGCCCACTGTAATTGTTTCTATCCATGGATTAGTGCTCTTGTTATCCTTCACTACTTTGGAATGACTGATTGTTAATGAAGAAAAACATAGAAAAATCAGAACATTCTGTTACATTCATAAGCAAACATTTGGCATGAAACTAACTGCAGTGGAGAGATTTATCACGGCCTTAGCCTCAGTAAATCTTACAGATCCTGTACATCAACTTTAAATCTGAATAATGAAATAAGACAGAAAAGATCCCATAAGACAGCTTTAAGGAGATTGTCCATATTACACTGACAGTTGTAGAGTTGAGTTGGGTCCTTAATATCTGTTGTGATACGGAATGTTAGTATTTACCTCTTGAAATATGTACTTGTGGTGTAGAGACCCCCATTAGGCTTGGATCCCAGCCAGGACAAAACTATTAGTCTTGTCAGATCTGATTCTAACACAGCTAACTACTAAGGAGATTGAGAAATGGAAGTAAAGGTTTTTCAAATCACAGCTTCTTTGTATATTTTGTGTGATACCAAGTAGAACATGTCTTACATCTACAGAAGACCATGTTGGAGCTTTCAGACCACACAAGCTATTGGCAAGTACTTGTCTGATGTGGTTAGAAAGAAAGTCTGAAGTGATCTCAGCCGGTCTCAGACATTTACCACCTCAATGAAACTCATGGGCCAGGGTGCTGTCAAATATAGAAACACATTCAGGGTGAACCTCAGGGTGAATCCTTTATCATATTTCTGGCTTATTTAATGCACTTAATTGTTAGAAGAACCTTCCAATTTTTGGAAGTTATCAGAATTCTTGAACTCTTTCTGATCTGCGTTCTGCTTAACTGACATGAGGATGGGTGGTTGATAATTCTGAGCTGCAGATTCCCTTTATATTGTGATAGTTAAAGAAATATTTGAACATTTGAGTTAATGGTGATAATTACTTAATCAAGAAAATACATAGTGATCCACACATTGTTCATCTGAAGATCATGAAACATTAAGAATACCAATATGTTTTGTTTGGATAATTGTATACTTGTGTAAAGTGACTAGTCTGAAGCTTAAGTCCAGTAAAATTCTGTTTTTCTGGTTGGCTAAGAAATTATCGATAATCGATATGAAATTGTGTCATCAATACATCTTCACGTAAACAATTGTGATGAAATAAAGCTTTGATTCACTCGCAATAAAATTAGTTATGTCTATATTTATTGCCCGCTTCTAAAAGATGTTCAGAACATGTGTCATCTGTCAACAGTGACATGAAATACATTGACTTCTTTCAGATTTCTTTTTTCATTATTTTGTAGAGTTGCTTCGGATATTTATAAAAAAAAGATCAATATTGAGTATAACGAATATCGATCTGTATGATCTACTAGTATATCAGTAGCCAGGGTTATTTTTGTCACAGGCTGAGTTGTACATCTTTGGGTCATCCCGACCTGAATAACACATACAAATTATGTTGCTGAGATAAGTTTACTGTTTTGCACTGATTATGCACTGTACTGTGGTGACCTCCATTTTTCATTGTCGTGATAAGAATTAAGTCAGAATTGACACTGATGCCACTTGTTGCATGTCTGCTCCTTTCGAGACTTCTGTCATTGACAACTGATAATGGGAAGTTTCTGAAATGTTTTGTGTGCTTTTTGCAAGGAGGAGGTATTATCGTGAAAGTTTACTGTGGTGTGAGTGAGACCAAGCTTTGTGTTTGATCAAGAAAAGCAAGTGGTTTTTTAATTTTTGAAATCATTACCTATTTATCAAGTGAGTTATTTCAGTGTGGTCTTTGTTTATCATGAACAGAGGTTTCAGATGTTCAGTATCATGTAAGTTACAGAAATAATGAATTTAGCAAAACCTCTGGTTTTTTAATTCTGATTTCAATATAATAATCCCCATTGGAACATTGGTGAGAGCAACTAACACTTGTTCTGAGTTCCATGCTTTATCAAGAATCAATGAATAAATTGATTGTTGCATGTTTTTGTGAAAGATCTTGATTTCAATTTTTTTTAAAAATTTTTTTTTTGTTAGATTCAAATCTCCTATCCCTAAGGCCTTGAGCCATGAAAAATGTGTTATCACAGACCTGGAAGTATGTCTGACGAACTGATAAAAAAACAAATTGTGTGTTGTGCCATTTGTAGTTGTACTATGCAGCTATGTTTTATAGCATATATACGACCCCTGCATTTATACCACTGTACCTACTTCCTTGCAGAGCACATTGGTGTTGACAAGGCTCAACCTGCTTTAGGGTGGAAATCCAATATGTTTCACTAATCATAGTAATAAACGTGTTGGGTTTCTGAATAGGCCCAAGGCTTTAGATTGACTGTATGGAAGCGATAAGCGTACAGTTGCTGTGATTTCACGATAATGCCAGGTTCAAGTTAGACTAGATTGATTTTTGTTTAGGGAATGTCAGCTGCCTAATTGCAAAGGAAAATTATTAGGAGTTTTTATCACTTGGTTTTGAAAAAATAACCTGTAGAAGAATTTTGTAAAGAATGCAAGTTTGTTGATGGCTATTTTGTAAATTGGGCGTTTATAAATGCATTGACGTAACTTACGGTATGGAATGAACATGATTAAAGACAAACAACAAAGTTGCTGAGATGTTGACTGTGTGTTGAAAACTGAAACAATGATTGGATTATATGTGTGAAATATTTGCTTGCTTTTCTTTTTTCAAAGGAGAATTAGAAGAAATATGCTGTGAAGTGATTACTATAGATCCATGCCTAGTCAAAAGACTGAATATTCAAAAGGGAAATATTCACCAAAATATGATGATTGTTATACAAAGCTATTGAAGTTGTATTAAGCCCTACCTCATAAAGTGTAAATGAAATCGTGGGGCTGTCAACAACTGTGATGAATGGGACTTATGTATTATTTTCTGTTGTAGGAAATATTGAATACTCCTGCCCAGCCAGTCAAGACTGTGAAATCACCAAAAGAAGGAGAAAGGCATGTCAAGCCTGCCGGTTTCAAAAATGTTTACGAGTTGGCATGCTTAGAGAAGGTAAGAACAGACTTTGGGACCGTATTGCTTGTCAACCTTTTGTGGAAAGTATGCCATACATACTTCTCAACCTCAAAGCCCCTACAGCAATGTATTGGATCGTACATACTATTGTAGCATACTCAGCTGAAAAATTATAACAGGTCGTTAAGAGGTAATGCTACTTACTTTCTCAATAAACCTTCAAATGCATGCTCATTTACTTCACCTGCAGTAATACATGAATGGATTTTTCACTAGAATCATAAAATAAAGCTAATGAATATTGTCAATGTTCATGTTATGTATTATTATGATTATGGGCCTTATTGACCATTAAATGGCTGTTTCAATGAGATTGTAATTGATATTGCTGATTAAGAGATTTCTAGGATTTTGGTTGGAGAAAGAAATGTGGCATATGTGGAAAATAGAAAAGGCTGCCAGTTATTATCCCTTGATTGCTTACTGCCAGAAAATCAATAAAAAAATATAGGTAAGCAGAAATAGGTTTTAGCAGACACTTTTCATTGACATCTGTTGTTCTAATGTGTCAGTTTGGTAGTGTGTTGAGATCACATATGAGTTGAGGCCAAAGCTTCTACAAAACATGCCTGCTCATGTTGAACATTTACACATTCATGACAGACACATTTTTAATTGCCTGTAAATCATCTATGTAAACATTTCCTATTGCTGTGGCTTTAGGCAGCATGGGTGGGATTAAGGTATTGTCAAACATATAATATAGCGCTTCAGAATATCAGAGGACGCAGGTTACTGACCCCATGAAAAAAATCATATGACCCTCAGGATACCTGGTCAATTATTTCAACAGGTGACAGCTTCCGGTTACTTCCTCACTGTGGTGCATTTGAGTGTCTCTTGGTGTGGCATTTTAAGATATTGAAGAACACTGCAAAATAGGCATAATGTGTGCCTCTTATGTTTTGTTCCAGTTTGTCACTTAACCACTCGTTTCAAACACAAAAATAGTAGAATATCCAATTAGCAACCCGAGCATGTTTTGATCCGTATATTATTACTGTTGCAAATGGCGTTTACAGCCTTACAGTATGGGCTGAGTGTGATGACAGTCAAGCGAAGCTGGTGTTGACACTGATTCAGTGATTGCACAACTGGAATATTTATGAGTGTAACATTTCCTACTCTGACAGTCTTGTGTTAGTCATTGTCATGTGCCTGATTGTTATATTACAAAGTTGCCATCTACAAGAAATGATAAAAGTGGTAGTCCGAAAGGAAATATCATGAGCCCTTCCTGAATATTGCGAGCAGACCTAGGTTCATGTCGGTCCTGTCCATACAACTGATCAGTTGAAACAGATCTTCAGTAAGTCATGTTATCACAAATGTTAAGTGACAATGAGTGGCTGATGACCACCTTTCAGTATACAAGTCTTTATACTGCAATGTGGAGTGCCATCATTTTCAAAAGCGAAGGAGCCAGTCAGCCACTCTTGCTGAATTTGGTAGGAATGGTTCTGTACACAGCCATATATGTCCTCATTCAACTGGCGTGGCAATCTGTAGGGCTGTTATCTACAACCACAGCCTAATGTATACTTAGAGGAAAATTAGGAGGTATGCTGTGGAGGCATGTGGGATGTCAATTGGTTCATAATGAAGATGTTGAAGGTGGTGGTTGTCACCCCTGCACTGGTTGCTCTCGGAAATGGTTATCAATAAAGTGTGGCTAAGTGTATGGGTGCTGTCATGACCGCAGATGTAATTGATGCTCTCCATTTACTTGTGTCCTTTGTTTCATAGTTTGTTGTGTCAGAGATGACCAGGGTTGTCTCCACAGATGTAATGGCGGTTTTGGATGTCTCTTTATTATTGAGAGCCAAAAGATGTTTCTGGTTTGTTTGGTTTGGAAGGGATTTGGTTGATGGTGTGAGTTAACTTCATATACACTGACATTGACTAAATATTAAGGGATCATTTGGTTCGTTTTGATGGATGGGATGGTGGGGGTTAACACAGAGTTAAAGACTTTGTTGGTTAACTCAAAAAGACCAGTCTCATTTGCAATCACGGTACAATGTTTGTAGTTAATCCTTGGTGTCACATTAGTTTGATGAAATAATACCTCTAAAACTGGTGGTAAACCTCTCAGAGTTGCTCTTCGGTGTAGACAGGTATAAAACATCATGTTTCTCCAGTTTTATATTTTCACATGAAAGTGGACTTTGTAAGAGCTCTAATGTAAAACATCAAGGACAGGGAGCATGTATGTTGAAATACTCTAGGAGCTAACCTCAACGAGATCTGGGTCCTACTGAATTTCAAACACTGTTTTCCAGTAATGGACTTTGGTCCATATGGTCAGAAGTAAAAGATCAGTAAGGTTGAGCAAATGGTGAAGTGTTAACAATATGAGCATTACATCTTAGACATTTCATTACCAGACTGTGTCAAAGTTTGTCCAACTTGATCAGGTTGGCCACAGAAACAAGGGCCACCACCATGTTGAGGTGCTTATTTGGACTACCAGCTTTCTGCCTACCAAAGAACGGAACCTCAAATCAACAATCATGAAAGACAGGTATTGCCAGAATGATTGCTTCTCAGAAATCATTCAGCCTTATGAAGGTTATCAGACTACCAGCAAAGAGAGAAGTTCTTCTCCAAACTAATCTGATTTTGGATGGTTCTAGTACTGTCTGATGTGAATAGTAACCCGGGCAGACGGCATTTACCAGTCAACTATCAATACTGGTTGCTTCCTACGTGTCGGGGGAGGTCAATTTGGGTTCTCCTGCTTGCTGGAGTAGGATTTGGGTCGTCATTGGACTTGCATGTAGAGTATTGATTTGCAGGGTTTGTGTGCCCCTGCCTTTGGCCTCCTCCGTGAAAAGAGGGGTCGGGGTAATTGATGGCGTAACAACAGCAGAGTCTGTCATTTCCACTCTTCCTTTAACCGACAGCCAACCACCAACAGTCTGGGCACAATCAGAAAACCAGAAATCAAGATTAGCATGGAAAGTTGGCTTTTATCCTCTTGTCAGAGAGAACCTCTTTGGAAAATTTATCGGAAGTTAAAATCAATCCCAAATTTCTCATCTAATGCCTCTCTTGCTTAGCTCCATATGGAGTTTCAGTAAAATCCAATGTCAGTTGAAATGACATTGATGTCTTTGAGAACATCTGCTTAAAAATTGGTTAGTTTTTCAGAGGAAGTAATTTCAGTCGTAAAGTTTTTATTGTTTTGATAATGGGATTCAGATAGAATATCAATACAAAGTGTACTTTAAGTGGTTGTTTTCTTTGACCAAATAGTCTAAGATCAGTAGAAAAAAGATATTGATAACCAATGATAGTTTTGTCATTACAAGATTTTAATTCATTTCTGGTACAAAATCAGTTTGTACTGTTTTCTATGAGGAACATCATTAATGAGAATGTTTGGGTTCATGGTAGTCAAGCAAATGGGTGATCTATCTTTGCGATATCTATAATTACAAGTGGTACAGCAAATGCTGTGGTATTTCAGTTTTGTCTATGTCATCAAAATTCTGTCAAAGCCTTTACAAAAAACAGAAAATAAGTTAATTTGTTTTGACCTTTGTTTCATACGCTGCTTTTCCTGAATCCGTTCAGTAATAAATTGCAGTGCCCTCTCTCATTTAGTGATAAAACTTTATGGGAGTTGCAGTGCCCCTTTGCTGACTCTATTGATTGATATGCTAAATATCACACAACTACACTAAGAATCACACAAGCATTGATGGCATCCAAGATGCTTTCATTTCAAGAGATAAAGAAGCTATTTGGCAGATTCAGATGGGAAGTTCACCCCATCAGAAAGCCGCCATGCCTTAATTGACCTAATCAGTATTTTGAGAAGTACAACCCAGGCCATACATCCCTGTTCTAACTGTGACCGAGTCAGATAGACCTTAATGATGGGTCTGAATACATCCTTGCCCGAGCAATAGATCCTGCCATGTCTAAAGCAGACATGCAGTTCACATCCTTCCACTCTTGAAAATCAGCCTGGCAAACAATCCCAGCAATGTTTGGTAACTGAGGCCTGTTCCCACCTGTCTCTCACTGCTTTGTCTTATTTCCAGGTAGCCAGGCACTGTTACTATGGTAACATGCATCCCAAATGTCAGTGGATTCTGTTAGGGGGTGCTTAGTTGGTATTCTGTGGAAGTGATGAAGGGAACCAGGCCTGAAGGTATCTGTTGCCACACCTGGCTGTTTATACACCAGGAACCATGGTTGGCTCAGTCTGTTGGAGATGCCATTCCTTGTACAGGAAGGAAAGGGGATCTCTTTAATTGAAATCAGCACATTACATCCCCCAATAAACCTTTAATGGGCCAGTGGATCAGATGAAAACATCTTTTCAGATAAGCCTTATACCTTAATAGCATAGGAGATATGATTGCCAACTGTTGATATTTGGAAATATGGCTTTGGGAAAAATGGTTTTATTACTTTTTGACTTAACATGCATGGTGGCTAAGGTCGGGGCTACAATACTAAATATGCCAAATCCAATCTGTTTTGCTTGCTGACACATATATGGTATGATGTTTCTGATAATGACTGTCTGAAAGGAAACTTAAGCAGTTGGTATTAGATATGAAGTGGAATTGATGTTGGCACTATACTGGTTAGGAAACGATGGACGTTCTGTTAATGTTACATAATTGTACAGTGACTTGTCCTATTCAGGTTTGTCAATAAAGTCTCCCCAAATAAAACTAGTTTTCTCCTTTCCTATCGGGTGGAAATAACCAATTGCCCGACGTCTGAGTCCAGTCTTTTTTTCTGTCGGTCAAGCAAATTTGTATATCACACTGTACCAGTGTCCAGTTGACTTTCGAATGTTAATTATGTTGTTTATTTTAAAAAAATCAACAAGAAAACGGCCGGTATAGTGGAAAAATTATCAGGGCAAGTGATTTTACATGTGCCACTGTTCCAGAGTACACTAGCAACTTTAAAGTTATTTCCACCCCTGCCTATAAAAAAGACAAATGATTTGTAGTGTTATACATGAATATGGCTGTCATTCTATTGACATGGACGCTTGTTATGCATAGTGATGTTGATGGTGTTATTCCCCCATAGTGTACAACCATCAAAACATTGTGTCATTAATATTGTCATTCAGTCAGTGTAAGAGATGTGAACTGCACTGAAATAAGACCTGAAAGCCGAAGGTTGTGTGTGAGACGAACACGTGATGCCCTGATGACAGCCATGGATCTGCCTGTTGTATATACATGTAAGGAGGTAGTTAGACAGGATTGAGCTCGTTTCGAGGGGCACCCTAGACTGGCAGGACAACCTTACAACATTCACCCAAAGGGCAGTTGTAAGATCATTCCACCCGCTAGAGCATCGTGACCCGATCAGTTTGACCTCAAGCAGTTCGTTGTTAATGGCTTGATATTATGTTTGTGGTTTGCATATTCAGTCATTTGGGAATAATAGAACATGGAAAACCTTTTTGTCTAAATTTGTGATATATTAAAAATTCAGTTGTATTTTATTTACCTGTCTTAAGAAAAGCCTGCCTTAATAAAATCTGAAAAAAAATGTAAGTACTAATTGATTGTTAAACATATATTTTTGTTTTGAATTAAGAAGACATAAATCAGCATTTGTTACATGGTTCCTGTAACACTATTTAGTTGAAGATGAAGTAAGATTTTGCTGTGTAAAAGAAAAGCTATGAACATTTGTTGAAATTGAGTTCTTCAAAGTGGCTAAAACCCTGAATATACTGTAATTTCATCACATCTTGGATGTATTCATGTCTCGACTGTAATAGTGTTTGTTAGTGTTGTGTTTACAAGTTCAGGGATATCTAGTTAAAGCTTGATGTAATGTTGTGTTAAATGAAGTGTTATTCGCTTTGTTCACTTGGTTATAGAGATAGCCATGGTTTGGGCAAAGGAGCCTTTATCTTGCCCAGACAGATAGCTTGAAAGCTGAGAATAGTTAAATTACAAATGCCTGAGGTTTCTTTTATAGTAAAGCTTTGGTGTCTAGCCTAAGGTAATCAGACGGTAAATAGGAATATTCATGATATTATTTCTTATATGGTTAAGGATGAGGATTAACCCATCTGCTAACTCAGTAACCATGGAAACAAACAAGGGACCAGTCATTTACTTTTGTTGGGTCAGAGGTACCGGGGTATTTTTATTTTCTAATGTACTGAAAATAGTAAGTGAGTGAGTTGTGTTTTATGCCTCTTTTAGCAATATTCCAGCATTATCATGGTGGGGGACACCAGAAATGGGCTTCACACCTTGTACATACTGAAAATAATGACCCTCCCCAAATGGTTGTCATACTTTTGGATGACACTCTCCTTGTACATGTACATTTTTATGACCGTTTTGAAAAGACGAATGCAGGACAACTTAATAATTTATTATAAAATGTTATCATGTTTTTGCTGAATACATGTATATGTACTATTGTTCATTGACCTTCGGAAGGCAATTTCATATTCATTGGTGAACCCAGCACCACCAACAACTATAACTACGATAGTATGAAAGAATTGCATAGTCCTAACTTATTTTAACGGGACATTAATTATTAGATGAAAATAATACAAGTTTGACCTCATTCTGACAATTTCACTTCAGTTTGTGGGAAAGGTATAGCAGTCAGTGCTTTGATCTACCATTTATCATCATTCAAGTAGGTGTGTACATATTCTACTGAGATGAGTAGAAAATGAATAAAACAGCTGATCTGCCAAGGTTATAGCTCCCTAATGGTCAAAGAGATACGCTTATGTCCACTTATGTCTTCAAAACGTGTCAAATTGAAAACCTGGGGATGGAAACTTTATCCCTTATTTAAGATAAGAAATAGAAGTACCCTCAAGGTCCCCAAAGGGACAAACACTGGGCATAATGTTTTTGTTTATGTTTTGTTCCAAATGAAATTGCTAAAGCATTGAGGATTTCAAAATGTCAGCCACCACAAACAGGAACTAGCACCAGCTGTGCTGACAGAAATGACGTTACTCCAACAGCATCAGTGCGCTGGCCTCAGTACCCCACTATCAGTATGCCTTTAGGTTTAAAGTTCCCCAGGGCCAGTTGAATTCAAAATATTTTTAGCCATGTTGTCAATAATTGGGTAGTTCTTTTTGGTTTATTTCTGTCGCTGAGGAGTTATAGATGAGGAACATTATCGAACATCACATCGTACAGAGCCAGAAGCGTCCCCTTTATTCAGATATTTTGTCATTTGTTCAATATTTCTACAAGCCATTAGAATGTTAATTCATCATGTACCAGGGCACTTGTGTTATGCAAACATTATATAACTGTTTTCATGTTGGGTTTGTTCTGTATCACATCATACCTGTGTTCGTGTGTTTTACCAGAGTGTAAGCACTTGGGCTCGTATTCCATTAATCAAACTGCATCCGTTCATGAATCAATTCAATATTCACTATTACAGAAATTGAATATACATAATAAAGGAGTAGTTTCACTGTAATTTGGGTGTCATTTAACAAAGCGAAATATGCAAAATGGAATGTGTACATGAAGTAGCCTTATCGTGGATTCATGATAGCCTTAGTAAGTACCTAAAGTCAGGATCACTTGTCACTGAAGGCTTCCTCAAGAGTAAGCTGACTCGTCATGAATTAACAGAAATACTGTTTGAGTAGCCAGTAAGCCCAACTCATGAACCCACTATTCAGTCAGTGGGTCAGTCAAATGTTTACCTACCATGAGAAGTAATCCAACAAACTTGTGCTAAATTGTCCACATTGTCTGGTTGGCCCAGAAAATAGAACAGGTCCCCAGCAGCCTTTGCTGTTGTGAGACGTGGCAGGGTGGTCAGATTTGTCATTTTACCCAGACATAGGCTGTCATAAAGCTAGAGTGTGGCATTAATCAACAAATATGACAAGCTGAACCAAAGCAAAATATGTGACTCTTTTGAGGAAAACCATGGCACATCAAGGAACAGCAGAATGAGTCTACAACAGCTTCAGATTGATGTGAATTCTGATCCTTCAGGTGACCATTTACTTGTCAGAATGATGGGCTGGTTGTCAGAAGTGTAGGGAACTGTGATGGGTCTCCTGTTGTTTTTTTCTTGGCTCAATTGCTATGTTTTTTATATTTGAGGCAAATTGTAATGGTTGAATTTCTGTCATATCCTCTAAGAAAGAAAACAAATTTTCCAGAACAATGCAGAGGGAAATGAATGCCATAACTCTTTCCTAAACGAAGGTTCTTATGACACGCTCAGTGGAATGTTATCATTAGTTATCTGTTTTCCCTGCATGGGCTGACAGTCACTGAGGCTTGTTAAAAACAATCACACGCAAACTTGCTGCAGCAGAACTTATGATAAGACTACCCACCATTATGGCTGTTGCTGAAGATAAGAGTCATCATCTTTGCTATGAGGTACTACTCACACATTCCTTCAAAGAACAGCCAGGGAATATATCTGTTCTGTTGTTGCAGGTGTTCGCCTGGACAGAGTCCGGGGTGGCAGACAGAAGTACAAGAGAAGCTCATCAGACAGTCATCCATTGATACAACAGATTATACCTGTTATTAAGAAGCCATGTCAAGATCGTAAGTTCATCTGATATCAGAACTTGGAATTCAATTTTTCATAAGATATTCAGCAGTACAATTCTTCGTACAGTTAGTAACATTATACACATTTACAAACACGGAGTATCTGGGGAAATCCAGTGGGAATTGGTTTTTATCTGCCCATGCTGCTTGTGAGCTGCAACTGACGGCATCAATTCTTTGGGTGATTTATGTTATTGTATCCCAGTGGTATAGATCGATGCTTATGATGTCAATCACTGGATTCTGGACTTGTACATTATTATTATTTACAGACTGTCACTATATAGCTGGAATATTGCTCAGCTGGCATTAAACAACAAACTGTACCAGACCAAAGCCTGAGTCTAATAAAATCTTACTTGATTTAGTAAGCTAACCTATTGCTAACTTTGTCAGAAGTCGACTGAAAATGATGCCATAAAAGCCAAGTGTTAGGCACTCATTGTTGGTGTGCATGAAAATGACCATTCTCTTGAAAGCCCAGGGGGTCCTGTCTGATGGACAAGGCTAAACAGCATTAACCATAAAACCCTGCTCAGCTAAATTTTTAAATAATAGACATTTTGTCATTCCATTAACTGTGACATTTTTTCCTTTACAGCCATCGCACCTCCCGATTTTAAGATTCTCAACACACTTCTAGCATTGGAAACCCAGTTAGACAAATTGTATGCTACGCCAGATCCCAACCAACCTGATGATGAAGTCAAGTTCATGGCTGCAGTGTCTGACCTTGCTGATCGAGAGCTGGTTATCACCATCAGCTGGGCCAAACAGGTGCCAGGTGAGCTTCAGCCAACCTACTTCTTAAAATTGTTTTTACTTGAGTTACAACTAGAAGTGTCAGCTTGACCAGCTTACTGTTTCTTTATTGTTGTCTGATTGAGTGAATGATCAAACCATAAGGAGGTTCTGTACACACTGCCATTTGGTTATGTAACACAACCACAAGATACTGTACACACAACCATGAGATTATGTGACACAACCACAAGATACTGTACACACAACCATGAGAATATGTGACACAACCACAAGATTATGTAGACACAACTGTGAGGTTCTGAACACATAACCAAAAGATTCTGTAGACACAACCAAAAGATTCTGTAGACACAACCATGAAGTTCTGTACACATAACCAAAAGATTCTGTAGACACAACCATGAGGTTCTGTACACACAACCAAAATATTCTATACACACAGCCATGGAATTTGACACAGCCATGAGGTTCTGTACACAAACCGTGAAGTTCTGTTTCCATGCAATCCACTCCAGCTCAGATATTTAGATACAGTGTCCTGTCATACACGAGCAGTTAACGTGTTGTGTGGGTGGTCGATGTAAAGTAACAGATGTCACTGCTACTGTCACCGTTATCAGTTGCTGTACGTGGGAGACAATTTGATGTAAATGTGGACATTTTCCAAATTATACATTTTCCTCAGATGTATTTATTAGCTATACCATGTGTGACACCAAATTTTTCTTTTATGTTTACTATTGCTCAATGTCTTCATATAATAACAAAAATGCTAAGTTTGCTGATGGCTGTTAAAGGCAAACAGTACATTGATCAAGATCTCATTCTGACTTTAGTTACTTCTAATGCAGGGCTGTGATGGGATGGGTTGCAGTGGGGTGTGAGATTGGAGGTGCTGTGCAGTGATGCCTCCTTTGATTGAAAGAGAAACCTATGATTGTGGGTACAAAACTCAATAGCCAGCTGTCATATTGTTGTCTATATGAAACACTGTTCATATTGCTGGCCATGTGATATAGCTGTCATATTGTTGTCTATATGAAACACTGTTCATATTGCTGGCCATGTGATATAGCTGTCATATTGTTGTCTATATGAAACACTGTTCATATTGCTGGCCATGTGATATAGCTGTCATATTGCTGGCCATGTGATATAGCTGTCATATTGGTGTCTATATGAAACACTGTTCATATTGCTGGCCATGTGATATAGCTGTCATATTGGTGTCTATATGAAACACTGTTCATATTGCTGGCCATGTGATATAGCTGTCATATTGTCGTCTATATGAAACACTGTTCATATTGCTGGCCATGTGATATAGCTGTCATATTGGTGTCTATATGAAACGCTGTTCATATTGCTGGCCATGTGATATAGCTGTCATATTGCTGGCCATGTGATATAGCTGTCATATTGGTGTCTATATGAAACACTGTTCATATTGCTGGCCATGTGATATAGCTGTCATATTGGTGTCTATATGAAACACTGTTCATATTGCTGGCCATGTGATACAGCTGTCATATTGCTGACCATGTGATACAGCTGTCATTTTGCTGATTATGGGATACAGCTGTCATATTGCTATGTGATATAGCTGTCATATTACTGACTATGTGATACAGCTTTCATATTGCTGACTATGTGATACAGCTGTCATATTGCTATGTGATATAGCTGTCATATTGGTGGCTATGTGATTCAGCTTTCATATTGCTGACTATGTATGATACAGCTGTCGTATTGCTGGCTATGGTGATACAGCTGTCATATTGTTGAATATGTGTTAAAGGTGTCATATTACTGACTCAATGCTATAGCTATCATATTGCTGTCTATGTCATCCAGCTTTCATAATGCATATTTTTGTACCATTAGGACCCAGCATGGTCCTCGCAGATACTACTAAGACCACATCAAGAGAAATTCATTTATTTCATAATTATATTCTCATTGTGCACATTCTGTCAATGCACACATTTTGTAATGATAATTAATGTAGGTAATTACTTCCCCTAAACATGGATATTATAAGTTAATTATTAACTCTAGTTTAGCAGATAAAGGTTTCCGTATGCTTTAGTGATCACAATAATGGCTAAGTCCTAGTGGATGCAGCTGTCGATAACATGTCATAGAAAAAGTTCCAAATAGAAATATTGTTGTTACCGTATGTATAATTAGAATAATCATGATAAAATTATCCAAATATATTCAAACAGATGTTGTAAAATGTTATTTCATGTGGAGGCATTTTTACATCATCTGTACATTCCTGTCATGTTTATGTATGCTGTGCTGGTATGTCTGTATATTTCATACAGATTACTTCAATAGAGATATTCCATGTAGCTGCAAGTAACCGGGGAAAATGTTCCTTGGCATGGCAGCCAGCCTGAAAGGAGCACTGATTACCTTTTGGACGAAGTTTGTTGCCCTTATTACATTATGGGGGCGGTGGGGTAGCCTAATGGTTAAAGCCTTGGCTCGTCATGCCGAAGACCCGGGTTCGAATCCCCACATGGGGACAATGTGTGAAGCCCATTTCTGGTGTCCCCAGCCATGATGTTGCTGGAATATTGCTAAAAGCGGCGTAAAACCAAACTCAGTCAGTATTACATTATGATGGAGTGACTGATGAAGCTTAAAATAAATGTTTAAAGGTATTGACATAGTGTATTATGTTGGTGTGCATGGATTCAGCAGAGTTTCACAACGTGCTTTTAATAACCCCTGATATGCGATAGGGCATTTATCCCATTGCTAATTATGTTAGACAAGTTTGTAAATGGACTTTCTTATTGGGATCGCCTGTTAAAGCGATGAGTTCCCAAGACGTGAAACTGTACAAGAATTTGATAGTGAATTAGTGCCAGGTGAATTAAAATGGATGGGTTGGAAGGACTGGATAGCTCTCTGTCGAGCGGAAACAGGTGTTGACGACAGCCACCACCAAAAAATTGATTTGGTTTAATTGGATTGTTGTAGTGAGCAATAGCAGGAAGAAGTTTATTTGCAAAACCTTGTGGGGTTTCTATGGTGAGTTCAAAAAGTGCATTCATTACTGATGAATTTACTAATGATACCAAAACATGCCCCTTATTCAGCAGAGCAATAATGGAATGGCTGGGTTAATTACCTGGATATATGACATATTTATGTTTCGCCAATAAGGTATTTACTATAGGGCTAAGGTTGGAATGTTCCTGGCTAGGACTAATGAATAATTAGGAAAACAAAAACAAGCACTTGGGAATAATTTAGGGAAACGCAGTTGATTTATGTTGTTTTCTATAAAGTTGATGTTGTGTCTGTTGGCAATACATGCTTATTTGTTATTTTAGAAGACAATGTTTATGTTATCTTTAGTCATAAGGAGCATTATAAGGTTGTGTGGATGCTTAGCAGATGATGAGTGTGATGAGACATATTCTCCAGATGAATTAATGTATGGAAATTCTTGATGTGGTGAGCGAGTCCATCTGGCCACGGAGCTCAGCTCTCACTTCCTGGATGTACACATGCCATGGATCTCAGCTTGGCCTATCAGGGTATTTTCAGTTGGAACCTTGCCCACCACCTGGGTCACAGGGACACGCTCCAGTTTTGCCCATTTGGCTTGAAGAATTATGAATTTTATGTAGGCAATATGTTTTGTGTGAGTCATGTTCATTCATATCTGAATCAAAAAGAACTAACTTCACACATATTGTCTGCTGATGCACCAGTTATAAGAATGTATTTAAACAAACAAGGATGAATGATTTTTGAAATGTGGAACACATTTTGAAATGTACATTAATACAAAACCTGAAGTTGGGCAGTGCAAGTCTGCCATGTGTTGTTCAACATGCGCTTCCTGTTGTTTCTCTAATCTAGATAATGAACTAACAGTGCTGCTTCCTGGTGATGGACGAGAATCATGAATTTATCATTTTGTTTTTCCTGCTGATTCTCCACGACAATACAGGATATCAGCCATGTAAAATGATTGATTGATATTATGCTTCCTATTCTTGTCTTGCAGCAGCTTGTTAATATAGACAGATGGCTCCGCGATTGTTAGGCAGTGTTGATATGTGACAAGAGAAAGCTCCAAGTTCTGTTTGCTATGTGCATATGATATCAGCTTTGGAAAAGAGTTTGAAACAGCTAAAGTTTGAAGAGTGTTACTCTTACTCTTCCAGTGTTTGAGTGTCACTCATGCCCTTCCATGGCTCTTTTCTTATGAAACAGCATACAAACTTGGACAAACGTTAATGTGATATTTAATATTTTTTTCAAACTCTGCTTTATCTGTCACCTGACGCTCTTCATAGATGAAACTCTTTCCTCTGCAACTTGTCTGAAATGAATAAGGAAAATGAATATTCATTATATTGCACAGGAGGTTTTGAAAGGAGAACTTTTTTGGTGTTTTGACATTTACGGACTTGTTTATTATCATTTGTGAAGGATAGGATTGATGGTCTTATTTCCGCCTTTTTCATTCTCATGTTTCTGAAGTGAATAGTATCCCAGGACAACACAGAATAATAAGAATGGGTCTCAGATGGTGACAAGGACTGCAGGGTTTCAGTGTTGCATGGTTAGAATACAGCCTGCTGGTGAATGTTGTCATCTCGACAAAGTCCTCTTATAATTGTGATCACAGTCGTTGTGACATTGTCCAGTGTGTCTGGACCTGTCAGGGTGATGTCAGGTGACACTTCCAGCCACAGTCGTTGTGACATTGTCCAGTGTGTCTGGACCTGTCAGGGTGATGTCAGGTGACACTTCCAGCCACAGTCGTTGTGACATTGTCCAGTGTGTCTGGACCTGTCAGGGTGATGTCAGGTGACACTTCCAGCCACAGTCGTTGTGACATTGTATAGTGTGTCTGGACCTGTTAGGGTGAAGTCAGGTGACACTTCCAGCCACAGTCATTGTGAGATCGTCTAGTGTGTCTGGACCTGTCAGGGTGATGTCAGGTGACACTTCCAGACACAGTCATTGTGACATGGTAAAATGTGTGGATCATATTCTGAGTAAATGTGTATCAATCAAACCAATATGAATCTGATGATAATGAGTGTATTTAAATCCATGCTCCTTTGCGTAAACAGTTGTCTTGAAAGTACCATATATGGAAGACACATATTACTGTGTAATACATGAAGACACCCCTACATCAGAACACAGCTCCAACTGAAGACAGCCACACCATCTTATCTTGCAGCAACCTTTGAACTTTAACAACTGGGCAGATAGGTTAAGACAATAATGTGTGTATCTCAAGTGCTCAATTCATATCATTCTTATCATGTTGAGCTCCCTACTATGGAAAGATGAGGACTGTTTCATGTGCAAGTTCAGAGCAGGATACCCCTCTGTGGTAAACTATCTCTCATAGGATAACATATAGGGCTCTGATATGATTCTTCTTGACCTATGTACAGGAGAATTCAGTGAGAAGTCCCTCATGCAGTGTTGGAAGTTTTAAATGCTGAGAATATCTCTGCCATGTAGAAAGTGCCTCATGGCTTTGTCCTGCTGTACTGATAGTGATAGTGATGTCTGCAGGAAGCTGTAATTGCTGTTTTGATTGATGGTTCTTTATCGCAGATAATAGAAATGTATTGATATGGATCGATTGTCAATAAAAAATGGAAATTATTTGCTTAGGGTATGGTATGACAAGTCCATGAGGGCCATTACGTAACACATTTCCTCTAATGAACAAACTGGCTTATAGAAGCTCAGGGTTTCATGGGACTTACACAATCCAATTTGGTGTCAGTATGAATCAGTTGCAAATATGGTTGTTGGGATTTACTCAGTGACAAGACTATATGATTCCAGTCCCATGATACATGGAGGATAACAGAACAAGGCCATACCCTACAGCTGTAAACCAGGTTTAGAACTGATGAATAGGTTCATATGTAATTTACTAGTAATACATATAAAATATAAAGAAACCTATTTTTTCCTGTTGTGTCTTTGGGCACAGACGGATTTCTATGATGGCAATTCCAACAGCTGTTGTAAATCTATAGGTTTTACATCAGATTTCATTCAAGTGACATTAGTTCTGTGATTGTTGAAGACAAGCATTAAGAGTTATTATGTAACGTAGCTACATTTTGAGGAATATACTTGTCTCAAGGCTCCTACATTGCTATAAATTCAACTGAAATATTTTCATTGTACACTCTATCAAAGGCTTGAAGTACTTCTCCCCCCCTCACCCCAAAAATATATAAAATTTTTTTTAAAAAGTTAACCCAAAAACAAGAAAAGAAAGAAAGAAAGAAGAAAAAGAAAAGAAACAAAAAAGAACCAAAAAAACCCCAAACAAAACAAAAACAAACTTAAAATGTTAGAGGAACTGACACTGGCTTGGCTCACTGAATGACATCATGACCCAGTTGTATGATTGATGCTCATGATTGTCAATCACTGGATTGTGTGGTCCACACTCAGCTATTTACACTGTACAGACTGTCATATACCTGACCCTTTCTGTGTTTTGTTGCAGGTTTCACCAACCTCTCCTTACAGGACCAGATGAACCTCCTGCAGCACTCCTGGCTGGAGATCCTGTGTCTCAATCTAGTGTTCAGGTCGTGTCCTTACAATGGTTCACTCAGCTTTGCAGAGGACCTGAAGGTGTCCCATGAACTAGCCAAAACATACAGTGTACCTTCAGAGTTTGATTCTCTTACAAGGAAACTGTGCAAGAAATTCACATATCTTGGTGTGAGCAAAGAGGAGTATGTGCTTCTGAAGGCAATCACTCTATGCAACATAGGTAAGTGAAGTTAGAAGATGATTTCAGCTGTCTCCCCAATTATTTTAAATTCAGAGTAGAAATAATTCCATTCATTTGCCACAAAGGGTGACAGATAAAGAATTTGTGGGCAGTTGAGTGAGCAATGAAATGTTATGGTCCTTGGTTAGGCACTGTTAAGACCAGGGTCTCCTTTCACGAAGCAACCTTTACTAAGGTTAACCTAAATTCCCATTCTTTAACATTGCGCCGCCATATAGCTGGAATATTGCTGAGAGCGGCGTAAAACTAAACTCACTCACTCACTCTTTAACATTGCACTAAGGTTACCTTAGTGACACAATTGCCTTAGTGCTTGTTAAAGGAGGCCCAGGTTGACTTCCGTGTTACCCGCTCAGATATTGGATTTGAATACTTTCTCTAAGCAAGTGTTACAGAGTACTGACATGGACATAAACCTCCCATCTTTTCACTCATTGAGGGTGGTGTGTGTTTGTATTATAAAGAGGGCGGTGGGGTAGCCTAGTGGTTTAAGCGATGGCTTGTCACGCTGAAGACCCGGGTTCGAAATCCCCACATGGGTACAATGTGTGAAACCCATTTCTGGTGTCCCCTGCCGTGATGTTGCTGGAATATTGCTAAAAGCAGTGTAAAACTATAGTCAGTCAGTTGTATTATAAAAATTAATCAGGTCCTGGATCTTCAAGGTTATGATTGTAGTCTATACCAAAGACCCCTCAAACATATATATTATCATCTTTAGCATTTGGAGTATGACAAGTAATTCTTTGACTGTCATATACTTTCAGTAGATCAATACAATGGGTTTTTTTTAAAAATATGTTCTGTTAGAAAAAGGTGTTCTTAACTAGAATCTTTCCCCAGCAGATGTGGTGGCAGAGGTAACCGATTCAGTTCAGACTCTGCAAGAAAAGCTTCAGGACTCTCTCATGGAGATCATCAAGATCCGACATGCTGGGAACATGCGGCGGCTGGGGCAGCTGTTTCTGCTCCTTCCCCCCTATAACACACATCAAACTGCTGGCCAAGCAGTTCTGGTTTGACATGAAGAAAGATGGACGTGTCATCATGCACAAACTTTTCTTAGAAATGCTTGAGGCAGATTCCTGAGGAAAGTGTTCTGGCCAACTTGTGGGGCCATTCATAATTTCTACAGCATCTAGGGAACATGTCATCTTGAGGTAGCCTGCTAGCTAGGACACTGAGGAGGATTACCTGCTTGTAGGCTCATGAACAAGGAACAGGTTGAGTGCATTCTCTTTGTATACTGTGTGATATTCACTCATGGAATCTACAAGTAACCACTGGTAAAGTTAAGGGATTGTGTGTAACCATATGAAAGTTATCAGGTTGTAAACTAGAAAAGGATCTTGTTTGTGTTGACTGTGTTAAAACAAGATCACCATACTCAGAAGGATTACTGTGGATATGGAAGCATTGGACTACCAGTAATGTCTAAGCATCAGTGATAATGTATATATCTGTGTGTGTGTGTCCATGTGACCCCTTCCAATTCCATTCCTGTCATGCAACAGTAGTGCTTCCCACAGCAGTGGCTGTAAGCAGAGATGTAGAGCAAACCACAATCAAATAAAGCAGTGTGCTCCTGCACAGGCCACATATCTGGCTCTTCAAAGGTGAGACGTACTGCATGGACAAGATGTCTGGTTCTGCTGGGGCTTGATATCAGGTTCTGACAGGGCTTGACGTTTGGTTCTGCTGGAGAGTAATGTCTTGTTCTAACAGGGCTTGATGTCTGGTTCTGCCGAACTTGATGTCTGGTTCTGTCGGGGCTTGATGTCTGGTTCTGCCGAACTTGATGTCTGGTTCTGTCGGGGCTTGATGTCCGGTTCTAACAGGGTTTGACGTCTGGTTCTGACAGGGCTTGACGTCTGGTTCTGCCGAATTTGATGTCTGGTTCTAACAGGGCTTGATGTCCGGTTCTACACATGCCGGATGTCTGCCTCTACACATTCTGGACAACAGACTTAGCAGACATGAGGTAGGCAAAGTGAGCTCAAGTGGATTACATATGAATCATCCCAATCACAAACTGGTCAGATGGGCAAACTCATTCAACCTCAACCAAATGGCATCTCATCCAATGGGTGATGCAGCTAAATGGCATGAGATGGTTCTTGTAGCTTGAACATGTACAACATCTATGCAGAAATCACAGGACAATGTACTCATGCGTGTTAGCAGTTTGGAGCAGGACATTTCTGAGATTATCTTCCATCATCGTCTGGTAGGGCCAACCTTGGCCCTGCCCCTGGGTGTCCTAGAACTGACCTCATTGTCATCACCATCCAGCTCCAACGCCAAAGTTCTTGAATGGCATTAAAGCTACCCTGAACAATCAAGCCAAAGTTAACCATATCAAATATATTGTTGTGAATTTATCATCATGAATTATCTATGGATTGGACAGACAGCAAGAGAATGGTGATTGTTTGGTGTTAAAGCTTGGAGACACTGACTCAGGTTGAATGTGTTCCCACAAAGGCAGCACTCATGGTATCTCTGTTCATTGTAGCTTTGGGTGTCAGATGTGCAGTTTCCGCCACTGTAGAAGATGCCAGTGACACAGTCATTATAGCCCTCGCACTGTAGGCTTTCTTCTGCTCACCCATTGTGTAACACTGGCTTTCTTACATGGTCATTAAGTGTTTTATAGTCACTATTCCTGGGACCAGTCAACTGAGGATGATCTTCATTTTGGTATTTTCTGTGATGTTATATAAGTACCATATCCAATGTTTAAAAGTGTCGCAGTCCCATGTAACATGGATACATTAAAATGAAATTCAGATTGCGAAATGGACGAGTTTCATCAAAAATGCATTTCAACATCTGAACTTTCTTGACCATGTAAATCATGTAATTATGTTCTGACATCTCTTTGATTAAGTCCTTTTGGACTAGACCTCACCAGGCAATATTCAAATTCCAAATTCAGGGCACCAATTACATTGAATATGGTAATTATTAAAGAGAGGGAAATAATTAAGAGTGTGCGAACAGAGGGTTACAAAATCGAACTATGGCATTTGGTAGACGAGTGGCTATATTTTTAGAAGCCATGTTGTAACTGTGTCAGCTTTTGAGTTTTATGGATTTGTTTAATCAGGTGTGTAAGATATGCAAAAGAAAAAAAATATTCTTCCCTTTGAAGATTTTGATTTGAAACTTGTGTCACTGCCTAATCTTGCCAAGTCAGACTGCATTTGAGGGAATTTACATCTTTCACCCTGTAGGCCTAAGTTGCTTAACAGCAGTTTTACATGCATTTGAACTGTTAGTGGCATGCATGTCAAAGTGTGCTATTTTCAATCAAACTTACCCATAACTGATAGTCATCTAGGACCAGCTGTTGATTCCAGTGTTAGACACCATGTTACTGCATTTTATTTCTAGTTTTGGTACCTTGGTGTAGTTAATGTTGTTAGTTAATGACAAATGTTATGACACTTGTTAATCTTTCCAGTGGGTTACCACCTTCTCATTATGTGGTTTGTTTTTCATGTATTTTATTATGTTTTGTGTTGTGTGCTAGCGTGTGTGTGTACTAGGAACAAGACTAATATGTATAGTGCATGTCGTCAGGCTGATAGAGGTGTCTAAAGTGACTATTCCAGACATGTGGAATTTAATATTGATGTTTCTGAAAAAGTCAAGACTATGAAGAATTTCAGCTTGGATTTTCCTCACTTAAAACAAAATGATATCAAGGAATAATGGACATTGTAATTTTACTGATACTAATTTAAGAGGGAAACCTGATGAAGTCTGTATTGCTTATTTTTTGTTTGTACTTCTAACATAGATACCAGCTATCAATAGTTACAGGTTAACATTGATGCAAATCTGTTTTCTCTTGAATTTACCTGAATGGTTAGAATGGTTGTCCATATATGAGGACAGGCATTGTCTCGCAGAGGACAGGCATTGTCTTGCAGAGGACAGGATGATTAAAGAGAGGATAAGATTCATCATCAAATGGATTGAGGATTCTGGAGACTACTGTGTTGCCGGATTCCATTGATGATGTGTCATCTGTGTCTGAAGATGTTAAGTGTCCTTTACTTGAGTTCCTCCTACTCTGTTCATTTGGATCAAGCAGTTCTACTTGTTGATGCGGACAGTGCTTGCCAACTTCCACAACTTTGGTTCCAGCTGCTTGTGATCCTTGTTTTTTTTCAGACTGTACTTTTTTACCAAAGACAAGTATGCAACATCTAGGAACCCCTATCCAAGAACAGAAGTTAACATGAACTTTACTAGACATTGATTTTGTATGCTTTTATGACATTGTTATGTTAAACTGTGTGATAGAGCAACGAGGTGATAAGGAAATCGATGCAAATTTTGTCACTTATTCCCATCAAATGGGGACTGTTTGTTTCACCTATCAGTAGTGTACTTTTAGGCAACATTAGACATCAGTGTTATAGCATTCTGACTAGTGTGTGAATTACAGAGGCCTTTGATAAGGATTGATGGGCTTGTTACAGGTGCATCGTGGGCCGAGTCCAAGATACTTCTTGTATCTGAGGAGTCAATGTATGTGTGATTACGATTCTGTCCCTGTTATGCCCCGATTGAATGTGTCTTCAGTGCTCCTTAGACAGGTGGCATCAGTGTTGCCTGGTCCACTAACAAAGTCCTATTGAAATGTTGAAGTTTAAGCATGTATCCTACAGTTATCTCTTGCAATCTCAGTATTGTGGCATTCCTCCCCTCCCACACCCACACCCACACCCACAACCACCACCCACTCCCAACCGTCCAACACACTGAATGTCCTGAAACGATGTCCTGAATGTATTTTTGTGTGCATTTTCTAGAATCTGCTCATTCATAGTCAGTCTTCTTACGTTTTCTCTTTTCCTGTGATTGATCACAAGCAGTAGAAACGGAAGCAGGGAGACAGCTATTGCCCTACCGATCTTGTAGTGAATCCACATTTGCTCGTAATGTGTCACTCTATTTCCTGTAGATATATGGAAGCCAAATTTGTATTGGTCAAGAGTGGAACATATCTGGAAAATCGTTTCAGGCAAATAGAAGGGAAAGAAACTAATTAAGAGATTCAGTCGTGTCATTATGCCCATGGTTAAAAAGTTCTTGACATCCATCACCACTGATTTGAAGTTAGAGAATTTCAAGCCGCCTTGGTTCAAAACATCCTGCATTCATTCTTGATCAGTTTAAAGGCAGCAACCATTCTTATCCTATTCTGTTTGTCACATTGTCACTTTTTCAGTTTACTGTTCCAACTTTAGTCCACATTTTGTTTGGCAACTGTCATGAGTTTTTGTTGAACATGTCGAAAGGTTCATTGTCATCATCATAGAAAACAGAAAAATGAAAGCAAGGTAAACAATGCAAAAAGAATCCTCTTGTCCTGTGACATCTGTTATGTTGTGTCTGGTGAGTTTTCTTTACATTACTGTGTGGGCATGACCACTTGACACTTTTCCTATGTTAATCATGTCAAAGCATGGTCACATGATCGTCATGTTATCATGTCAGTATTCTTGTTAGAAAGTCCAAAGAGTGAGAGCATATAACTACACCCTGTTTCATTGCTGGCTTGCACAAGCTACAATCAGATTTCATTTACATATACATGTACCCGCCCATTATTGTAGAAAGTGTAGCTGTGATGGGGGAGTGTATCCCTATCCTGGACTGATGTGTATGGTAATTCAGTACCCATAGACTCACGGAGAAACAGCTTAGCCACCCAAGATACATACACACATACTGTAGACCTGTAGCAACAAGCTCTGCTTGTCCTGCTCGGGGTAGATTCTCAGATGAGTACATGAAACATTCCTGACTTTATTGATATTTTCAGCCTCTCAGTCTCCTTTGCCCTGGTAGTGTTGGGCGTAGGCGACTGGGAACCAAACCAAGTATTTATTGCATAAACGTGTCGGTGTTTGGAGTTACCCACTTTGTGATATTTTCAGGTTGCCATCGTTAGATATAAGATGGCTGACTGTTGGAGTGTTATATTGTATTAGAGTGTCATATTTATCAGGTATGCAAACAAGAGTTTATGTATCATGTCATAATCCCATCAGTGCACAGCACCTTTGTCAAAGACTTCACCTTACCTGTTGGAAACTGAATTTAATTTTACCAGTTGTTTAAGATGGTAAAGAAAGGTGGACTGATTTCCTATCATAAATCAGGTCCGAAATATGGACTCTACATACAGCGAGGTACTGATCCTTGAAGGTGAAGTCTTTGAACTGTGACTGATAGCAATTGGTGCTGTGCACTGATGCTCATACACATTACCCAGTTCCCAAGTTTCATAGGGTTCCTTTATTTTTGTATACACACCAGAGTTGGAATACACTATGTCACAGAGTTTATTGTTCATATCCAAACAAGAGTCTTTTCAGTTGTCCATATGAACTTATAAACCAGATTACTGTTTTTGTTGCATTTATTTCTAGAATTTAAGCTTATTCCAGGCCCAAATCTCTTTGCTTCCTGCTTTCCTAGATCAACCCCAGCCTTGGCATGTGCAAGACAACGAGCAACTGCTAGGTCTACTGTCAATACCTGAGACCATACTTTTTTAGTGGAATATATTGTTTGCTTTGAGTACATCAGTATGTCTTCTCACCTACCAAACTGAATGTATTCCAGTAACATTTCCAGTTGGAAACAAATAAAAATAACAATCATGTGTTTTAATGGCAATGATGTGTATGTTACTGGAATGCATGACACCACTGTCCCATCATTGAAAGCTTGAAGATCTAAGCAGTTGCATATTAAATTAATTGATTATTACTTATTGTATATTAAAACCCCAATTATGAACACATATTATAATATATATATGCATGCTTCTTCTCCCTTTGACCCCTCACTGGTAGTATTTTGCTCGTTTTGATTTGCTAACATGTATAACAAGACTTATTTCCTTCTACTTACGTATATCACATACCTTTGGAAATATTCAGTTTCTCTCCTGTAGACAAATATTTACCACATTTACAACTTATTAGGTGATATGTTATGGAATTGTCAGAATTTGAGTGGATAAGTTTGTTTTATCGAAATTATTTTTATTTTGCTCCACTTTGTTTGTGTCTGGAGTTTTTTTCTAGCAAAGTGTGTTTAAATTAATCAGTGTTAATCCTTTCAAATAGGAGGGTTTTATTACTTGTACACAATGTTATATTGTTATGTAAAATATTCGCTATGTAATGAAGTGATTGATTTTATAGATTTGAAAGAGTTACTTTTTGAAAGCTTTTAGATAGAAATGTTAACTGTTGGTTTTATTTTTGATGTTATTTCCCAAGCCAATTGTCACTGAATTCTTGTAAGAATGTGGCCTTAGAAGGCCAATATGTTTGTCATGTTGATGAATGATGTTTTGACAATCAGCATGAACTTACAATTATTTCACCCATGCCTTCTTCTCAAAATAGTGTTAGCATTATGATCATCATGTCTAGTGGTGGTGCTATGATAACCTTGAGGAACAAGGCTCGGTTTGGTAATTGTTTGCAGTCAAGTTTACAGGATGTCGCCAAGACCACAAACAATGATAGACTCTGTCTAGCAGTTACCAGTGGTTTAATACATCTGTGATGACTATTTACATATCATCCAATTGAGTCCCCATTCTTACTTGAGTTGCCACGGTGATCAACCTTGTTATGCCTAATATGAGTAGAATCAGGTCCCCATCAGAGGAGTCGGGAATTTGACCCATTCTGCTGGGCCCAACTCTAGAAGTCAGGATCTGAAAGAATATGACAACTTTGAAACCTCAACTCGAAAGGCTGTGATGTCAATATTGCTTTTTTCTCTTTCTTTTCTTAAGAAGAAACATAACTCAAAATTGCATATTGTGTCCTTTGTTAGTTTCCAATCCTTTGGGATGCATTTCTGAAAAATTATTGTACTCTCGAATCTGGAAAGTCAAACCACATTGAACTATTTTATAAACCTTATAGGGACATATGCAGTGTTCTCACTACGAATGTTAGAAGCACATTTCCATAAAGATATTTATGATGATGCCGCTAAATCCAGTTTCTTTGATCTACATTCTAATTTCCTGATCTGAAAAACAAGGACAATGTAACGAAGTGCTGTTTATTGATTAGTGGTATAAACAGTCCTTCATTCAGCACTAGTAGGTTTCAAGATGATGTCAATACTCCCTTAATGTTTATAAGTTTTGGGATTAATGAACCATTGTGTAAAAAGTACAAAACTTTTGATCAAGCATTAATGCCATTTGTGTTACTTAAGAGCCAGTTGCTCTCTGACCCAATTGTATTCTCTCTTTGAACTTAAAATATTTTTTTTCTACTGTATTGTTTGTGAGAACACTGGGTATAACATTAACTCTTGTCCAAGACGTATCATTAGCCAGTATTCCACCCTAGGTAGTGATGAAAAGTGGACAAAGTAGGATGGAGCTATGGATGATTTCATTGGCTCTAAGGAACTACCTTGTTGGAACAGTATGGAACTGAACTTCATATCATCAGATATCATTGGGAGGGAAGGGAACTCAAATTGATCTCGATATGTTATGTTTATTTATTTTTGTAGGCCAGTTAAGGCCAGATGTTTTATACCTTGTGCACCATGACGAATGACCTTCACAGATTGCCGCCGGGTACCATGATAGTTTAACTCAGTTTAAACGATATTTTCATGGTCACAAGATACGCTTGCAATCCTTTGACAGGAACGAATCTCGTAGCCAAGTAATTTGTGACCAATTGAATTTGTCACGGCGTTCCTACGGCAATCTGTGAAGGTATTGTTTGGTGTCTGAAGCAATACTCATGACCTCATATCTCCACTCTACTTTGTCCGTCAACGTCCGACTCCTCTGATGTGTTCAGTATAAAGCTGCAACCGTGTCTTGTGCCTTCTGTCTGTCTCTGGCCCAGCCCGCCATTTCTTGTGCCATCCTGTCTGTCACGTAGGTAACTCAGCCTAGAAGGCTAGCGTTTCCAGAGCCTTGTAGGCTCTCATTGTCTTGTTTGACCCAGGCAAAGAATCACGCCTTGCCTGTGCTAAACAAGACCTTTACGGCCTAATCATGTCCAAGCCTGGACTAACGAGGCTCCCATCAGACTCAACCACCATCGAGTCCTGACAGAATCACTGAGGTGCCTCACAGCCCTCGGGGATAAACGACTCAGCCACGTCCTGAAGGTTTATCACATTTGCAGTCTTATTTTAGATGTTGATTTCTCTTGTTGATATATTTATCGGATGTTTTTTTAAGGAGATGCCAGGTTTGTTGAGTGTATATAGCAATAAAAGGATGAAATTTATGAAGCTTGTTTCATTTTGTTTTCATTGATTTATTTGATCTTGTGTAAGTTTTGATAATGGTAATAGCTTAGTGTTACATTATCATCATATGATTCCTTAGACCAGGGACATTGAAGAACAACATTGACATTGACCAAACGATAATGCCCAATTGCTCAGAGACTTAAGAGGCAGTTCTACATCGATTTGAATAATTAAGTATTTGTTACATGTACCGAAGACGTTTGTTTTCCTCAAGTGCTCATTTCAGAGAACTAAATATCCTTTCGCTGGGACTCTTGTCATCAGCAGTGAGTCGTTACTCTCATTATGTCATGTCCATCAGGACATAACCCCAGGAAGCCATAAAAGCAGGCCCTAACCGAATATTCCATCAAATCTGCACAGGACGTCCTGATACATTATTTATCATCGTCAAGCAGACATCAAGTCCTTGTTCGGGATTCAGGCACGCCATGCCCCACAGCTACCATTTCTCTGCATCTGAAGGCAACATTAAGCTTGGGAAATAACCTGACGAACATGTACCATGCAGGTTTTATGGTCAATTATCTGTTGTGGTAGCCTGAGCAGCCCATCAATATAAACTGACTGCAGTTTTCTTGCCAGGCACGAAGACATCGACCTTGTATCGATCGTCAGCTTTCGTCGTGATTACGCCCTCGGCGGCTCTGGCCCTTCGCTGATGAACCCCTGGGATCGATGACGCTGTGCACTGGGTCGCTTCAACCATGTAGGTGTATTTGTCTACTTGTGAGTGGGAGGCATGGGACAATTGTATTAAGTTAACAATCGACACGCTCTTTAAGCTCCGTTTCATATGACCAGTACAGAAACTTTTACAAGAGTATTGATCTTGTCAAAAATGTTATCGTTTGTTTTTTAGGTCTTGACGTATGCGCGGCTAGCTTTCGAATTAGGCCCACGACCAGCCACGAGGCAATGCTCTCCTGATTATATTGCTCTCAAGATTCTACCATTAGATTTGAAAGCAACTTGATTGCATTATTGGTAACTGGTTTCCATGAATGCGGGGTCGTTTTGAAGTAGGGACTGTTAAGATTATCTTCCAACAATGTTTGTATTGTATAAATCGTCACCCGCTGAGCAAATGCTGACTGCTATGTTTAACAATACTAGCCGGTTCCATTGCAAAAAACCCAACAGTTTCTTGTTCGGGGCA